TATATATATATATATATATATGTTAAACATTGGATCTTTTTCTGGTGTTTTCAGTGCTGGGGATGGAACTCTAGGCCTCATGTGTGCCAGGCAAGCCACACCCAGCCCTAAAGATTTAATCTGGAGACCAACTATTACAACCCACCCGGCTGGATCACCCAGTTTGGTTCCCTCACAGAGAAGCTGTCAGCAGGACCCTGGGAACAAATAGGTTTTCTCCTACACCAGGGAGGGAAGCCGAATAATGAAGGTGGGACAGCACATCAGAAGCAGTGCGTGGAGAGTTGCACTAGAGTTGTTCCTAGATATGAATATCCCATGGCTGTCCAAAGACCTTTCACTTTGGACCAGAGATTTTCAGGACATTCTTGATAAACCTGAGAGCATGCATGCTATAAAAAAAAAAAAAAAAAAAAAAAAAAAAGGGGGGGGGGGGGGGGGGGTGGGGGGATTCTAACTTTGGAGCCTGTCCTGGAACTCACTCTGTAGCCCAGGCTGGCCTCGAACTCACAGAGAGATGCGCCTGCCACCACTGCCCAGCCAGAATTTTTTTTTTTAAGGAAAAGTTTGAGGGTACTGGAGCTATGATGGTTCAGAAGTGAGGAGCACTTGCTACTGTTGCAAAGGCCTCAGGTTCAGTTCCCAGCATCACAACATGGTGGCTCACAGCTGTCTGTAACTCCAGGTCCGGGAGGGCTGCTGCCTCTAGCCTTCTCAGGCACTGTAATGTATGAACATATATGCGGGCAAACACTCACATGTATAAAATATTTTTAAAAAGTAGGTGGATGGTGAGAGTAGACACTCCAAAGGAAAGGAATCAGGGATTCAAGCAGGTGTCCGCACACCACATTCACAGCAGCATTTCACTATAGCTAACAAGTGGCCGCTACCCCGGGATCCATCCAAAGGTGAGACAGTGAGGCTGTCCAAACAACGGTGGCCACTCAGCTTTCAGAAGTAAGGAAAAATAAGCCAGCCAAAGGACAGTGTGGTGACCCCACAAGCCTGAGGTCTCCAGAGCCAAGAGTTCACGTAGAGACAGAGCAACATGGTGGGCACCGGCAGCTGTGGGGGAGGGTAGTGCTGGAGGGGGGCCAGCTTTGGTTGGGGAAGATGGGAATGCTCTGAATGCTTTTTGGTTTTGTTTTTGTTTTTTGGATGGGGTCTCACGTGGCCCAGGATGGCCTTGGAATTCCTGCTCCTCCTGTCTCTACTTTCTGAATGCTGGGTGTGCACACCACACCTGTCTGAGAAGTTCTGGACCTGGTTGGTATGGACAGCTTTGAGACACTGTAACTTCCTGACACCGAGCTGCAGTCACCATGACACCCACTCCCCTGCATGTTAACAAAAGGTAACATTCATGTGATGGGAATTTTCCTATCTCCCAAATGTTCCATAGTGTGGCTAAATAACTTCAGTGATAGATGAATGTTCAAAATTAATGTCTAAAACAAGTTACTTAATAAAATTAACTAATGTCTAAAATAAGGTCTGCAGGATGAGAGGCAAGTTTGCAAAATATGTAAAGACCCAGAATACAAAATAAAAAATGATAGGGTCAGGTGTGGTGGCGCATGCCTTTAGTCCCAGCACTCGGGAGGCAGAGGCAGGCGGATCTCTGAGAGTTCGAGGCCAGCCTGGTCTACAGAGTGAGTTCCAGGACAGCCAGGGCTACACAGTGAGACCGGTCTCAAGAATAAAGAATGAAACAACTCACCCACCTTAAAAGGGGAACAGGAAGAAGGTGGTCAGAAGTCACCCCTCCACCCCTACACCTGAGCATTGCCTCCTGAGGGGCCATGTAGAAACTAACCCCCTGCATGGCTGTCCATCCCTGGAAGTGAGCAGAATTTGAATGTTCCCTGGTCTAGTTGGTCTGTGTGGAAGTTCTGGGATGCATGAAACAAAGCCCACTGCTCTGCATCTCTGCATCCAGTTCTGGAGTTGAAGCCCAAATTCTGGCATATTCTGGGGAAGGTATTCTATCCTTTATCTCTGAGCTACATCCCAGCCATTCACCACTCTTTTTTTTTTTTTTGAGACAAGATCTCACTGAATTGTTCAGGCTGGCCTAGAAATTTTGATCCCCCTGCCTCAGCCTCCTGAGTGACTGGGATCACAGGCATGCACCAGCAGGCACAGTTATGATGGTGTTTTTGTTTCTAAAACATGTGCAATAAACCTGTCATGATGGTGCAATCCAGGCACTAGGTCGATGGTCAGAAGTTCAAGGCCAGCTGCTACAAACTGTTACAAAGCAAGTCTGAAGCCAGCCTGAGACTTTGTCTCAAAGAACTGTTAATTATATGTGTAATTTCTATGTCTTTATGTATGAGTCAAAATGTCATTTAAATTAACAAAGAAAAATGTTTGTGTTGGCCTTGAGATGTATCTTTATGGTAGAGTGCTTATGTGCCATGTGGGAAACTCTGAGACCAATTCTCTATTGTAAAACAGTTTGCTTCAAGATAGAAATATTCCATTCCACAGGGAAGCAGGAAGGTAAACGACTCAAAAATATATTCAGGAAGTACCTGAAACTGACCAGATTCTCTAGGCCTCTCCCTGCCAGACTAAATAATAAAAGCCTGAAGAGTACCTCTCAGGGGAGCAAAGCCAAGCTTCAAGGAAGACTCTGAGACCAGACCAGCTGCCTAGAAGAAACAGAAACCAGCCAAGCTGCCTGGAAGAGGTTTAGACCAACTGAGGCACCTGGAAAGGACACTCTCCAAGCTGCCTGGAAGAGGTTTAGGCCAACGGAGGCATTTAGACATCCATGCTGGGGTGGGCTTTGGGGAGGCAGCTGTCTGTGAGTTTTTTCTGTTTTTAAAAGTAAGTGACCCCTCACCCATATTTCTGTAAGTAACCCTAATAAAACTTACTGGTTCTCCAAGTTGGACTTTGGTGGCATCCGTACTTTGTCATGGACTCCCTATCTCAGGTGATTAGATGTGTGTTGCATCTCACTGGGGAAAGCTTTGTCACACAATACCCTCAGCACGTGTACACACACACACACACACACACACACACACACACACACACACACGTAGAAAAACCATTCAGGAAGATGCACAGCCAAGCAGAACAGTGGTTCGCCGAGGCGTGTGACTTTGGCATCTGGTCTGGAAGGGCCCTTTTACTTTACAGACATGCTAATACTTTGATGTTATTTAAATAACATTTTTGTCGTTTAAATAACAGAGAATTGTGAGCCTTAGTTCCTGGCTGTCCTTTCCTTCAGTTCTGCCAAAAGAACCTCTCTATAACCCTTGAAACGCCCCCATATCGAGGTAAGACATAACTGACTTCTTCGGTGGAGGCTCTCAGGGCCTCTCTGGAACAGTGTCACTCAGGGTTTGGGAGGGGGGGGATGGACAGACAGGCAAGACTCACCTCTTCCTTGCTGAACAGCCTTGAACAGTGGCTTAGCCTCTCTGAACCACCACCAGTAAAACAACCCAGGACCTTACAGATCTGCTGTAAGGAAGATACGCGGCAGGTCAGGGCCTTCTGAGAGGCCATCCAGCTGGGAGAGATCCTTCTAGTGCCTGTCTCCGGATAAGCACCTTCCTCCCAGGTACTTTTCCTACAGGACTAAAGCCTGCCTGTGGAATGCAGTGGGATGGTGGTGGGCATTCAGTAAGCAGGTCTACCTTCCTACTCCTGCCCCTCCCCCAGCTTGGCTTGGGTTCATGAAGCTGGGGAAACTGAGGCCAACGGGGCGGGGAGGAGAGGAAAAGGGGTAGCTTAACTCTAGGACAGAATAGGATGGCTGTGGTGGGGATGCTCCCCAGAGAGGGTGGAGGGTCCTGCCAGCTGCTGACCCAGCCCATCTGTCCTTCCAGGCCCACGCCCAGCACACACAGGGACTCCCCAGGGGATCCTGGGAAAAATTGCTGCTCTCCCCTCTCCCTACCTCCCCTCAGTGTGGGCGGGCGGTGCTACTTCGGGCTAAGCAGTAGCTGCAGGTTGTGAATCAGGCTCTAATTCTGAAAGGATGCTGGTCCCCACCACTCCAGGATGGAGGACCAGGGGCGCTCTACACCCTCCCACTCCCGCCCCAGCCCACTCACGTCTCGTGCATTCACCCCTACGCCTGCTCTGCTCCACTCTCACAGGTGAGACCACCACAGGATGTTTCTTAACCTTTTATTTCAGAAATATTTCAGACATCCCAAAACGCAGATGACCTAACCATTGCAGTCCTTGGCATGTCTCATGGCACACTCACCAACTTAAAACTGCCCAATTTTACCTCATGGTTTCTGTTGCCAGGAGCCTGTGTAGCCAGCCAGGTTTCCAGTGGGGTTCCCTGCTCCCCCACCAGGCTAGATCTGAGGGCAATCCTCAGCTGGCACTCACTCCAACATGGAAGCTCAGGCTCTGCTGGGAGGAATTGAGAAATGCTTGCCAGGTCCCTCAAGCTTAGCCCTGCTCACTTCCCACAGCTGTGGGGTTCCTGTAGCTTCTTCCAGAGAGACACCTGTGTTGCCACCACAGTGGAGTCTTACATGACCAGCAGTGACCCCAACAATGGAACCCACCTTCTTTGTACAGTTCCCACCCACCCTCCGGTGCATGGCAGTGGGAGCTGGGGAACGGAGGCAGCTTAAAGACTCTGACCCCGTGGCCACCAGGGCTCCCCTCCTCCCCCGGTGGCCAGGGCTTCCTCCTTCCTCAGAGTGGGAATCCTCAAGATGGACTTGCATCTTTCTACATGTTTTCACATTTGACAGATGTGGGAGATCTCTGCTCACCTGTAAAGGATGGGGCCCAAGATTCACATGAGTCCCAGAAACTGTGAGTAGTACCCTATCTGGAGGTGATGTGTTTTTCCTATGATAAAGTTCAGTTTCTAAGTGAGGTTCAGTGAAAGATTAACAATAATAGTGAAACAGAACAATCACACAATAAAACCACGGACATCACCATCCTCTCTCCAGCCACTATTAAATGGGATGTGTGTATTTGTACACAAGCAAGGCCCTGATGGCAGCTACGTGATGGGCAGGTGGGTGGCATGTACACTGTGGAGTCACTGGATGAAGGATGCTTTATGTTCTGGGTAGAATGGGAGCTGGGGGTGATGACGATATCAAGCTGCTCAGAATGGTGCATAGTTTAAAGCCTATGAATTGTTTATTTCTGGAAATTTCCACTTAATATTTTCCAACCAGAACATCAGGTAAGGGGAAGGTTGTGATTGCAGCACCATATATTAAAAGAAATCTTTTTTTGCTTACCATCACATTTGAGATATTTATTCACATTAATACATAAAGTTCTGGTTCATTCATTTTTGTTGTGATATAATAGTTGGCAGTATGAAGTTCATTTGGTGTATTTGCTCATTTTCCATAAGATGCTTAAGTGAGTGGACTGGAGATGTGGTACAGTGGTTGAGAGCACTGGCTGCCCATCGAAGAGGACCAGGTTTGATGTCCAGCGCCTACATGGTGGTTCACAACCATCTGTAACTCCAGTCTAGGGAATCCAACACCCTCTTCTGGCTTCCACAGGCCCCACGCACACGGGGCACAGGCAAACACCCCGTACACATACATAAAATCATTTAATCCATCTGTCCTATTTACTGCTATATACAGGGCAGCAAGGATGCTGATGTCTCCACCCCCCGCGTGAAAGCTCCTCTGGGGTGAAAGTCCAGAGGTTTACTGAGATAAGGGTCTTTATATACTTGAATCTGTAATTTCAAGATTTTCCCACCTCGTCATTTTGCTTCATATTAACCAGCAAAGAATGGTGACACCAGACGCCCTAGTTCCATGGACACTTGTAATGCCCAGACTTTGCATATTTGCTGCTTGGTGGGTATCACACTCAGGACTGTTGTTACAGAGATCCTCCTGGAAACCTACAACCCTCCTCCTGCTCCAGCTCTTCCCAAGGCCTCCCATCTCAGCACACTCTCCAGCCTTAGACCTGGCCTGAGCCCCGCTCTCAGCCTCGGGGCGCCCTGGTCTCTTCGGCCACCTGTTCTGGCCCCTCTGCTGGAGTCACCCACACTTCCAGTCTTTGCTTCACTGAGAAACAAGCCACCCCCAGGTCCTGCGTGTAGTCAAACTATCCACAGTGAAGATCGTATTGCCTCGTCACAGTCCGACAGTGCAGAACTGTGTTTAACAGCTAGGGGCCAGTCCAGGGCTCGGAACAAGTTCTCAACCTCGCTGCCACTGACACTGGGCTCGCTCGGTCTCTGTGTGGAGGGTGGCGTGGCTACCTGGAACAGAGATGCCCACAGCAGCCCTCCCCAGTCACTGCCAGACACCCCGGGAGAAGGGTTAGTATCCGTATTTAACAGGTGGAATGAGGAAACTGAGTCACAGCAGTTAAGCAACTTCCCCAAGAACACACAGCTATGAAGTGACAGAGCTGAGATTCGAACCCAGGTCATCTGACTTGGCAGTCTACACCCTTGGTCACTATAGGATCTTATCCCTCAGTCTATCCGCTCATCCTTTCCTCAGAGCTGCCTGCCACCCAGTGCCATCACTCACCTGTCACTGTCAATCCAGCAGCCCATCCATCCATTCCTGTCACCCATCCATCCTGAAGGAAATGGAGTTGGCCACCTCAGGCCCCGAGAGGAGAGGAGGCCCCACAGCTGCCCATCTGGTGGGGAGGATGGGTGGGTGGGCTGCCCCCCTGGGCAGGGGGCAGAGGCTGGAGGGAATTAGGCAAGTTCCTGCCAGGACCATCTAATTAGGAATTCTGGCGATAAGCAGATAGCATCGGGGTGATTAGAATCCTTTTAAAAAGCCACTCCATTAATTAGAGAGACAGAGGGGCCTCTGGCTGCCTAATCAGCCTCCATCAGCTTGCCTGGGGAGGGCTTTCTGGAGCTGCTGTGTGACCTTGGGTATGCCCTGCCGTCTCTGGGCCTGCTTCTCTACTGAGCTGGGTTCTGCTGAGATCATCTAATCATCTGATCTCCTTTCTCTTCCCAGAGTCCTTTCTGAGACTATGGTCTTGAGGCATCAGAGGCTGACCCCTCAGAGAAGGGGAGAGGGGGCGTCTCATCATCCCACTCGTGAATGAGGACAGAAATTTACAAAATGGAGATGGCCTAACAGTCGTGGAATCAGGAGCTCAGGGGCTGGCTAGTGTCCCTGCCTGTGCACCATGCTCTGCCCTCAGATCCTACACTCCTCCACCGGGACCCCCCTAACACTTCAGACTTGGGGACCTCACAGGACATTGGTTCGTAGAACTCTGTAGAGGGGGAAGTCACCTCGGCATGCTGCCACCAAGTGGCTGTCCACTTCTAAGTTCTGTCTCTTCCTTCACTGCCCACCTAGGGGGTCTCCACTGTCATGGTCCCTCCGGCCCTGAGGGGCCCTGGATGTGGTAACGCCCTAAGTCACTGAAAGTGTTCTCTGTCTTGGGCGATCCCTGAACCTGAGCGGTGTTGGGGCCTCCATGTTGTCTCACTTGGACAGACAGGCTCCATTTGGAGGAAGAGGGCAAGGCAGCCGAGCTAGTCAGCAGAAGCCAGAGGTTCCTCCTGGGAGACGATTGAGACAGAACCAGAGATGCCAGCGGGACAAGAGAGGTGCCTGGCTGGGGCCGGAGGGGACGACCGGGTTTCAGGACACATCATCACCCTGAACCCCTCGAACTCAGGACTGTAAGCCCACCACCACCCTGATGACATCATTATGGGAGCCTCAGACTACACCAGCACCTACCTGGTACCAGCATCACCACTGCCTTCCTTCTCTGTCCCAGTCTGCATCAGCGACACCCTCTGCACTATCACGCCCCTCTGTTACCACCGCTGCCTCTACCTCCATCAGCGTCACCGTTGCCATGACCACCCTCTGACATCACTTCTGATGCTGTCACCATCATTGCCTTCCCCCATGATCACCACGGTGACATCACCACCACCTCTATCGTTTCAACCCAGATTCACCACCGCCATATCCTCCATCATCATCATCACCTCCATCATTAATCACCACCACCATTACTTTCTCCGTCACCACCATCGCTTACCACCTTCACCACCACCTCCGTCATCACCACGATCATCACCATCAGTACCACCACCACCCCGCCATTGCCATCACCGCCTCCATCATCCCCTTCTTCACCTCCACCTTTATGATGGCCACCATCACTTCCTCCTCCATCACACCATTGCTATCACCGTCACCACCACCTCCCTCATCACCAGCCCCACCGTCTCTACCGCTACCACCACTGCCTCTTCCATCACCACAGTACCACCTCCAACATTACTTCCTCCTTAGGGTCACCCACCACCCGCTGTGACCACCTAGAGCTTGGCAGAGAGCTGCTTCCTCCTTCCCCCTGCCCAGCAGTCTCCTGTCTCTCCAGCAGTTGCCTTGGGACTTGCATAGTCATCCAGGAGGAGGGCCTTTCCCGCCCAGCAGACACCGGCCTTCACCGAGAGGTGGGCGAGGACTGTCCACCACACACCACCGGAGGACTGCAGTGACTCCTGGTGCCTGGCATCCCCAGCCCCTCTGCCACACACTTGGCAATTTCAGGCCAGAACAGCTTCTCTTCCGGGGCCCCACTGACGAGGCCTGGGAGACGGAGCCCCAGCAGCCCCTACCGTGTGGGCAGATGAGGCAGGCACACCCTGAGTGTGTGTGACTACTGAGTGCGGCGCTGCACCTTAGCAAGCTGAGCCACACGTGGCGTCCATGCCTTGCCACCTTCATAGGAGTGTCACAGTCGCCACTCCCATCCCCAGGGCCCGAGTCACCTCCTGCTCCTCCCATCATCTCCATCATTGACACGGCTATTACCATCACTACCGCGATGGATGGGTGCAGCCAGTTTCGCCCGAAGCCGCCAGCAGGAGCCTGGGGTAGTGAGTGAGGGCTGGTGCGGAGCATGGAACCTGTCCTGCTCTTAGTGAGAAGAAATGTGAGGGATGGTGACAGTTACCTGAAGTGTCTCCAGAATCTGTTGTTGTCCTTCCTGGCCTGTGGGACTCAAGAGAACGATGTGCCCTGCAAGGTGTCTGCAACTGAGAGCCCAGGAGCCCTGGGAGATGAGAGGATGAGAGGGAGGATAATGGAGACAGACTTCGAGGTGCAGAGGAAGAAGGGAGGAGGAGGAGAGGAAGGAAAGAAGGAGGAAGAAGGAGGAAGGAAGGAAGGAAGGGGGAGGAAAGAGGGGAAGGAGGAAGGAAGGACAGCATCTCAGAAGTCTGGGAAGCCCAGTCCCTGTTACTGACATTATGAGGAGTGGAGTCTGCAGCTTCCGTCTGGACGAGGTGAGATGGGAACAGGGAGAAGTCAATGCTGGTACTCCAAACGGGACCTGATGGCAGAGCCCAAGCCTGGCCCACAGACCTGGAGACTCTCCAGGGCCACTGTGACAGCACCAGTGACACCACAGAGACCTCTTCTCCACTGACCCATCATGCCATGCTCCACGCTGTACCATTTCATTGTAGCTGTGTCCCTCAGGGTCTGTCACCACCTTCACACGGCCTACTCCCGAGGACAAATGTCTTCCAGGTCTAGGATGAGCTCATTCTACACTTTTCATCCCATGTATCAGACCGCATTTGGTTTCCAGGGATCAGGAGGAGCCTTGGCTTTGGGGGTTCCTGCCCTGTCTTCCTTCACCTGTACTTTGTATTAATCTCCTTTTATACCCGAGTTAAGCAGAATGCATCTTCTTCCTGCTGGCCACCACAGCCCAGATGACCCTAGTTCCAGTGTCCTTCTCTCTCTCACAGATTTGCTGTGTGACCCTGAGCTGTTGCTGTATGTCTCTGAGCCTCATCCATTAAACAAATCTTGGTTGATCGTGTGCTATGGGCTGGATCCGTCTCAGCTGCTGACAAGCACGCCTGCCTCCCTGATGTCTCTGAGAATCTAGAAGGTAACAGGCCACACATATAATAGATCACTGTCCCTATCTACCCCACGTTGCTTGGGGCTCCTTCAAGCCATCACAGCACCCCAGACTCGGCTCAGAGGACAGATCCCAGGAAGTCCTTGCTCTTCTTGACCACTGCCATCTATGGTGTCACTGACCCAATCCCACAGCGGACCTGCCCTTCCTCCTTGGTTCCCAGGGAACCCAGCAATCAGCCTCCGTGCAGCCAGACATGTGCTCCAGGTCTTCCACAGTGGTCAGCCGCCCCCACAGCCCTGTGATGGGTAGAGCTTGGCTGAGGGGGGGCGGGGGGAACCTGCTGCTCAGCGATTATGTCACAAAGGGTCCTGGCCCCAGCTTGGAAGGGGCCACCTGGGCCTAGCCCAGAGCGACACTGTCCCTACCCCCCAAGCCCTCTCAGTGGAGGCTCCACCTGTCCCTTACAACCGGGAGGATGAAAAGCTAAGTTCTCGCCACCCAGAGCCAGCAGATTCCAGCAAGTCCCCCACCCAAGGGAGGACCCCAGCCACTTGCCTCAGCCCTCCTCAGCCCTCCTAATCCGGTCTAGACCCCTCCACTCTTACCATGGCCAACTACTACGAAGTGTTAGGTGTACAGTCCAGTGCCTCCGCCGAGGACATCAAGAAGGCGTATCGAAAGCTGGCTTTGCGTTGGCACCCCGACAAGAACCCTGACAACAAGGAGGAGGCTGAGAAGAAGTTCAAGCAGGTGTCTGAGGCCTACGAGGTCCTGTCCGACTCTAAAAAGCGCTCTGTGTACGACCGGGCAGGCTGTGACAGCTGGAGGGCCGGCGGTGGCGGCAACGTGCCCCACGGCAGTCCCTTCGGCGCTGGCTACCCCTTTCGCAACCCTGAGGATATCTTCCGTGAGTTCTTTGGGGGGGCGGACCCTTTCTCCTTTGACTTCTGGGACACCCCATTCAGCGACCGCGGCCGGTCCTACGGTTTGCGTGGGGCCTTCTCTTCGGGCTTCGGTGAGTTGCCAGCGTTCATGGAGGCCTTCTCGTGCTTCGATACCCTGAGCCGCGGTGGGGGCAGCCGCGCCACCTTCTCGTCCACCTCCATCGGTGGCTCCAGTTCAGGCAACTCGGGGTTCAAGTCAGTGATGTCCTCCACGGAGATGGTGAACGGCCGCAAGGTGACCACCAAGCGCATCGTTGAGAACGGCCAGGAGCGGGTGGAGGTGGAGGAGGATGGACAGCTCCGGTCAGTAACTGTCAACGGCAAGGAGAAGCTCATGCGGGTGGGCACCAAGTGAGAGCCACCCAGCCAGACCCTGGGCCAGTCACCATCATAGGGGGCTACAGTAGTCGCAAACTAGTGCTTAATAAATATGCTAAGTGAGCTCATGTAGATGCCTCTCCCGTCCTCAGGGGTGGGTGGGTCACTGTAGGCCCACGGTGTGGCTCCCACAAGTCTACAGCCACACTCAGGAGCCCGTGGCCTCCATGCCCAGCACCAGCTGTTTCCCATAGGAAGCCTAGGGCCAGCTCCTCAGGTGGGGTTAATCTCTGTCACCTGCCCCTTCCTGTCACCCTCAGGTCCTGCCTCACCTGCTCTTTCCATGTCCCTTCTCCAGGATGGCCGCCATCCTCACGGGCGCCCCTGCTCAATTCCCACTTTTCCTTACTCACTTAAGGGGGAGCAGCCACCCCAGAACCACGTGCCTCTCTTTCCTACACTGCTTTCAACCTCCCCTACCCCTGCTCTGGGCATGGGGTGTTGGGTCAGGTCTCCTGGAAAGATTTTCGGAGGTGTTGACACTCAGGAAGAACATTCTGGGTGGTGGGACCAGCATGTGAAAAGCACCTGGCCAGGGACCGGCTGCCCTGTTGGAAGAACAGGAGGAGATAAGTGAAGGGGTATAAGCAACTTGGTGGAACACCCCCAACTTTCACATTTCGGGGTTCTCGAGTCCATATCATGGAAGAGAAAACCGAGGTAAAGGGAAGGAAGGCTACACAGCTGACAGGCAGCTGAGCCGGCGCTCCATTCTGGGTTAGCGCCGAGGGACCAGCCTTTAACGGTGTCCATGGTGATTATTACCGTGGGGGGGGGGCAATGGCAGGGGTTCACTGGCCAGTGCTTGCTTCCTGGGGGCTGCAGCAATCACTACGGACTCCAGGGTTCACCCTGGCGAGTGACAGAGTGTCGCTCTCGGGTAAGGGACGAATCCTTTGGGCACAGAGTGGATGAGCTGAGCAGACATTGCTCCCTCGGAAACTCCAGCTTCGGAAGGGGCCCAGCCTGTGGGGTGGAGAGGAAGGAGGTAAATTTCAAAGTTCCGGGGGACAGCAGGCCAAAGGGGGGTTCTGGTGCTTGTGAGGGAGAAGTGACAGGAGACCAGGAGGCCTTAAGGGAGCCTGGCTAACGGAGGGAACCAGGGAAGAACTTGTCCCCATTTCTCCACACAATACTAGGAAGAGGACCATTGGGTAGGGGTTCAGGTCACTGAGAGGTGGGCCAAGGAGTCTTCTTCCTGTTCTAGGAAGCTAGGTAGCACCCCAAGATATCCAGGGCCAGCCAAGGGCTGCAGGTGTGGTGGCCAGAAGCTGTCGACCCTGAGGCCTGGCCTGGGCTCCGGTTCCCTGGAATACGCCTCGGAGGTCCTCAGCCGCCGGCAGCTGGACACAGCTAACCACGTTACTGGTTAGGGCATGGGAGCTGGGCCACACAGAAGGCGGAGCCCAAGCTCCCAGCCCTGCTTGGGGACTAACTTTATCAAAGCCTCCATGGCACCAGCCACCTGACCTCTGCCCCTGTTGACCTGCTAATGTCCCCGATCCCTGGCCAGCTATGGCTGCCTCAAGTGGGCCCTGCTTAGGGCAGACAGCTGCTGGGCAAATCCAATTACAGCCCAGCAGCCCCAAACAGCCACGCACTCCAGGTGGGTGCCCAGAGGAAATCTGGGAGCTTGCCAGACCCAGGGATTCCAGTATCCAAAGAATCCCGGTGCCAGGGACCACTGGCTGTCTGCTTTCTGAGTCTCACCTTGTGTCCTCTCTCTCTCCACCACAGACATGATATGGCATCCCCAACGCTCCCCCAGGACAGCCCCAACCACCCTGGGGTCCCAGCAACAACGTGTTTGCCCATTCTGCAAACGGGAGATCTGAGGCCCTGCAGGCTGTGTGGGACCTGGTGGGATACCACAGGGTAGAGGGATGCTCAGGGAAATAGACCCGAATCTTAAACTGGTTCAGGGCCCTTCGTTCTCCCCATATTATTGCTTGGCATCACACTGTCCGCTCTGCTGGGCCACACTTCCTGAGAGCCATGGGCAGTGTCCATTTTGGATCTTCTGTGAGAATCCCATGTCAAGGTTCACCTGTGTGGGAAGTAAGACCTGCTAGTCTCTTTCTGGCTCACTAAATCCCTCCTAAAAAGCCCACTCTCTGTATTCTCCCAGGCGGCCTCAACAAGCCTCTCTGGGCAGGGCATTCGGGCCAAGATAAATGTCTCCTAGAGCCCTTCTGAGTCTAGAGTGGGGATTGGCTGCCCACGACCCACCCGAGTCTTACCTCTCTGAAAGGGGCTCATGTGGAGACGAGCCAACCATGGACCCTGCCTGCCCTGCCCGAGGTGCATCAGGATCTGGGGATGATGTATAACTTTACCCTGCTGCTCCCAGCCGCTTCCCATCCTGCCTACCTGGACAGCCCACCCTTTCCCCTGTCCTGTTTTTATCTCACCCCATAGCCAGAGGAGTTTCTAAAAACCTGAGAGTGAAAGTCAAGGGCATTTTGAGATGCTCACTGGTAGAGGCCATCACCCCTCATCCCTCACCATCCCTATGAGGCCACAGGTCACCCGCCCCATAACCCTCCTTTGCTTTGCTCCAGCCTCACCAGCCTCCTCACTGCATGCACCCAGCACACTCCTGCCTCAGGACATTTGCATAGGCTGTACCCTCTGTCCCAGCCCCCTTCCTCCCTAGGTCCCTTGCAGCCCTGCCTCAGTCCTCTGCTCTCTCCTGCTTCTCAGCTTCTGTATAGTCTACCCTGTTTGGACTCTCGACTCCAATTCAGCTTTTCCAGTCTCAAAGGCCCTTTCAGGCTCTCTCTGCTCGTCACTCCCCAACTGCTGTGTCCTACAGGGGTTCTGATTGTCCAAAATGGCCCAACCCTGCTGGAGAGAATACACAACACCGACGTGATATCGTAGAGTACATTACACGCAGGATACCATGGCCGTGGCGGTGAGGCCCATGAGAACAATCTGCAGCCTCTGCTCTGGGAAGCTGGTCTCTCTGTGTCCCAAGGCCTGGCTAGGTAGGCTTTCAGAGGGCTGAGGGTCTGTGTGGGCTGAAGGGCATCAGACTTGCCCATTATTCCCAAGCTTTCCACTATAATGGGAAGGCTAAGCAATACATATGATCACTGACCTAAGCAATACCTATGATCAGCCTGTTTTATAGATGGAGAGACTGAGGCTCCAGGGGCACGAGAACGGGGGCCAAGGTCACATGACCACACTTTGAGCTGCTCTGCCCCCTGATATCCCCTCTCCTGAGCAAGCCGGGTGGGTGGGGCCCAGGCAGCCTCCCCTCCCTCTGGCCCTTGATGTTATCACAGCTGATTTAATTTCAAAGACGGATTGAGCCATGGTGGGAGGGAGAGCCACTATCGCAGGGCCATCTGCCCTGTTGTCATGGGGATGGGCTCCCTGGATTGTGCGGGACCCAGATAAGGGAGTGCGCTGAGGGGGTGTGGGTGGTGGGACTGCAGTGGGACTGAGATCAGAGAGAGTCAGAGGAGAGGGAGATGGAGGGAGGCGTGGGGACAGGAGGGACCCTGCAGAATGGAGGGCTGAGCAGGATCCAAGGAAGGCCAGTGGCTGCCGCACAGGTGACTGGGGACCAGCATGCTGGGTCATCCACAGCCTACCCCACAGCCAAAAGGGTTCCTACTGGTCCAGGACTCCTCTGTTCCCTGGGGCAGGGTAATAGGTGGTGCCAGACACCCCAGTCAGTCTGTCTGCTGTGACAAGCTGGCACACCCCTGGCAGCCCAGCTCAGCCAGGAGCCCAGCTGCTTCCCTCCAGAAGCTTCGACCGCACCATCAACATTACCACGGTGATAGAGACTGTATTTTGCCAATGGAGGGACAGTGCCCTGTGGTGTGCTGTATCTGCCAACTACCACCCAACCTTCAGCATCTCTCGTACCCACCCTGCAGGGTGGGACTGTCAGTCATCTCCCAGAAAAGATTACACAGAGGGCCCCAGAACTCATGCAGCCGTGACTGTCATCTCAGGGGGGCGCAAGGGAAGGGGACTAGAAGGAAACCAAAGTCTTGCCTCTGCTCTGCCCTCGAACCGAAGATCTAGAACATTCCACCATAATATAAGCTTTTTCCTCGTGGGAGCTGGGGTGGGGGCAGTTCCATCTCAGCAACTCCAGGGCATCCTTTCTGCTCTCTGTGACAGCCTCCGCCTCATACAGGGCCAGCTCTTTCTCCCCTGTTATCTTAATTGTGGAAAAGTACACGTAACATAAATTACCACTTCAACTGTTTTTTCAAGGTGCAGGTCAATGGCTTGAAACCCATCAAGGGTCCTGTTGCTGTCCCATCACCCACCTCCAGAGTTTCTCCATCCTTCCAAACTGACACTGTCTCCACTAGACACCAATCTGTCCCCTCCCCGGCCCCTGGCACCCACCATCCCACATCCTGTCTGGACCTGGATCTGGCGGCTGGGCGGAACCATACCCATTGTTTAGTTACCAGGAGGACTGGCCTCACCCTCCCTCTCCTTTCCAGTGTGGGCCATAGAGGATGGTGAGTCTCAGTGTCCGGGGAATACTGACCCCTCCCCAGGCTGGGCAGAGTTGGAACCGGTCCCCATTAATGGTGGGGTGGTGTCACAGCCCCTCCCATGTTTGGTGGTTCCTGAGTTGAGGCCGTGGTGAGGCTGGAATGTCCCAGCTCATACCCCTGGCAACCTCAAAGCACACAAAAGAGCACAAACTAGAACAGCCACAGTGTGCACCTCCACCCCACTCTGTACCAGAGCTGCACCGGGAACAGCTGGCTGCCTAATGGATAGAGGACCCGCGTACATCCATAACTTTTCTTAACAAACTTTTTATTTTTTGGTTTAAAAAAAAAAATCTTTTGAAATAGTATCTTGCTGTGTTGCCTGGACTGGTCCTGAGCTCCTGGCTCAAGTGATCCTCCTGCCTCAGTCAGCCTCTCCAGGGGCTGGGATGATAAGAGCAGCCACGAGTTAGCCCCGGTCTGGAGGGGGCTGGATCCCCAGCTTCAGAGCCTGTGGGACCAAGGCTTTGCCTTCCATTGTTTCTGTGGCAAAAAAATAAAAAAATAAAAAATAAAAAAATGGCAACCTT